TCTACCAAAGTACTTTAATAGCATAGGTAATATAGAACCTATATATAATATAGAAGATTATGCTAAAGAAAGCAAATATAGATTAGAAGTAGCATATAAAAGAGCCAGAATCATGTTAGAAGATGGCAAACAGAAACAAAAAATTAGGTACGACGCTAGTAGTTTAGATTTTGAACTAAAAATAGGAGACCAGGTTTTATTAAAAAATGAAACTGGTCACAAGTTAGACTATAAATATAAAGGACCATATAGAGTAGAAAATATCGGAGAAAGAGATAACGTCACAATCTCCGATAATAAACAGAAAACTCAGACAGTCCATAAGGATAGACTAAAACTTTTTAACTCATAGATAGAATTAGTATGGCCATACATGAGTATATCCATAGGAATATATCAAATCTTTTTAATTTTTTTACTATAACATATACAAAAAAAAAAAAAAAACCAAAAACTGTAACACTTTGTTGCAGTGTTTATGCAATAAACATTCCCAGGCATATTCAGTGCGACGAAATACGATCACACATATATGCCTGGTACTACATTAGTGCAGCGTCGGCATGTATAGCATAGCCGACGGCACTTGAATATGATCCACACAAGCATGTGCATATTCCCCTCGCGCCCCCCGCTCTTAGAAGCGCTGGGCATATAATACGAATAAACATAAGCGGCCGCTCCGCTGCCGACGTCTCCGACAGCGAAGCTACGCGGCCCTAGCTAAGAACCCTTCATGTAAGAGATCCAACGGGAGTCAATAAAATCACTTGAACCAAGACGGATGTCTTGGTTCGCTATTACAACTTATTCTTATTCAAACGTTAAATGTTTATTAAATATTACAGAAAGGTTTACAGAATCGAATGCTTTACTAAAATCAGTGTAAATGACATCCGTCTGCAAGTTACCTTGAAAGCCTTTAATGATAAAAGAGGTAATCTCTAATAAATTTGTGGTTGTTGAGGCGACGGCCTTATAAATCCGTGCTGGGACGGAGATATAAGTCATTTGCAGAGATGTTGCAAGTGCGGAGTTAAAATTTTTTCAAACATTTTAGGAATAGCGGATAACTTAGATATACCTCTATATATACCTCCATAAAAGATTCCTCCCAGATGGGGGGGAAGCATGAAGAGTTAATGGATAGGGTGAATAGTTTAAGCAAGGGTCCACACAGAGCGTCGGCACAGTACCTAAGTACACAGCCGGGAACTCCGTCGGGACCTGGTGAAAATACCGGCTTAACTAGTCGAAGATCATGAAGATCATGAAGCAGTGAGCTTTCATTTAACAAGGGGCTGAAGATGCCATTCGATCTTGGTAAACTGTATGAATACGGCTGACCAGAGTAGCTTTCATGAGAATGTGTTGTTTGGAAAAATTTGGGCACAAGGTTATTAGACTCGTTTACCGAAGACAGACAAACAGTACTATCATATGCTCTTTATCTGATAGCGAGGAAGAAACCTTTCTGAGGAAAGTGGAATATACGAGCAAGTAATGAAAATGGAAAAGCCTGGGAGAATCAGTTTTACGCACAGGAATTCCAGGTCTTGTTGAACCTGGACCATGAAATGTTCCGACGTGAAGTTTGAGTCCACTGCAATAACGACCCCACCTCCACATCGAGACGAACGGTCATTGCTAAAAATTGTGTACCGACCTGCCAAAACTTCGGAACTAAGGATGTCCGGCTTTAACCAGGTCTCGGTGAACACAATAACGTGGGATGAGATGCGAGACTCTCAAGGAAAAGAGTGCTGAGCTTACTACGCAAGCCTCTAGCATTCTGGTAGGTAATTACAAGAGAGGAAGTTAGTTTTTTGGATGGGTGGAAGTAGAGGTGGAAGATGAGGATGGAGATGGAGCACTGGTCTGAATGCTAGGAAGAGTTATGGGGGGCCTATTCTTTCTCTTAGCCTTAAACTCTTTGACGACCAAATTCTCCGGCCAAAACTTGGCGGAACAAATGGTTTCAAATTGAGGTGGGGAGACGCTTATCTTGAAGGAAGATATCTCTCTGGCGTAAGAAAAGTTAAATTTTTCCACCTTTAAGCCGACGGCTTTTATTTTGCTTTATATAAAAGCGGTCACATCATTGGATGTGAGGTCAGGGGCTAGCCGCGAGACAAAAACTTGTCGCTTTGCTGGGACTCCCACCAGTGGTTTTGGCACCACAGGCCTAGTACCTGTGATGCCAGTATCCGGTGGTCCTGGACATCTTTTAGCTGGTGGGAGCGAAACTGAGGGGATAGTTAAGGGTTGGGTGCGGACTCGATGGACACGGACTCTACAGACATTTCTAACTGCATACTCTCCGATGCGAAGCATTCGGCTCCTGAATCTGCATCACCAGCAGCGATCGCTGCCCTTGGAGTAGCAAACGTAATCATCTGCTGCATCAAGGGAGTGGTCGGAGTAAGTTTTTCAGATGCCGCGGACATGAGGCAGTCGGCACTTGCAAGTCCCGCGGAGTAGACTTCTTGCGCCTCGGAGACTCAGCCAGCAGCTGTAAACTGCTGAACTGAGTGTTCATGGCCAAGAGCCGATCATATTGCTGTTTAAAGCCTACGATCAGCTCTTTGAAGCCTCTCCGCGTCTGCCTCATGAACGAACGCATGTCGTTCGCACGGCATTCCTCACAACTATAATGTAGGCCGTTGTTTTGGGAAATGGCGTCTCCTACGCGGCCCGAGATCCCTACACATTTTGCGTGCACTACGCTTTCGCAAAGCCAGCAGGGGATATTGGGCTGGTCATGGGTGATCTGCTTCTTGCAGGTTTTTTTTTTGGCACAGACGACAGATAATTCCATTATGTCTTTTATTTTTTTAATTCGAGGAAAAAAAAGTTCAAAACAAATAGCAGTCAGACCAAGTGTGCAGAGCAGATGCTTAGAGCAATGCTTAAAGCGAAATCGGTAGAAATAAGATGAGAGAGGAGAGTGGTTGCAGCAACAGCTTATAGGTGAGAGCGTTACTGCACAAAAAGTTACAAGAGCGAGAGAGAAAGAACAGTTATTGAGAGTTAGGTGATAAAGAGAGAGTGATAGACGGCAAAAGCTACGACAAAGAGCGGCTAAATGTAATGAGAGGGCTTACTTACGAAAAGCAACAACACAAACACACGACTAACCGACGCACAAAATTTATTAAATAAGTTGTGTTTTTACACAATTATCAGGCATGCACCCGCGGTAAAAGTATGATTTTAATGTAAGTTAGTTAGAGAGTTAAATGATAGATAAAAACACCGGCTGTTTATGTTAAACAAAAGGAAAATGCGGAGCGCAAAACAAAAACACGTCTGGTCACTACGAAAGGTTTAGAATTGATCTTTAGGCAAAAGAAGGAGGTACGCTAAAATTTGGTCTGTTTACAACGCAGCCTGGGAAGTGTGTATTGAGTAGAAGGTTTACCGATTCATTGCTGGACGTCGTCCATGACTGATCGGCTTTCTCCAGGTAACCCAAAGTTGGGGTCGACTTCGATAGTACTTTGCGCAAGCATGAAGCTTCGGAGTTACTTTCGATTTCACTGCAGAACTTACGCCATGAGGCGCGTTTGGCTTTCCTAAGTTCCTTGTTATAGTGTAGTGTATTCATGCAGTGTGTTTAAGAACCACCCTAAAGACGGATTGAAATATGGCGGTCGCTGTCGTGGCCCAAAAGTAATGCGTCTGCATTAGACAAAAATTTTTTTTTTCGAAATTGAAACGGGACACCCCCTACTTTTGTTATCTTGGATTTAAGAGTAATTTACATGTTTTTATTTAATTTTTTTTTTTTTTAGAGGTTGATACCGAACTTTATAAAAAATTTTAATCAAGAAAACTTAAAAAAAAGTGTTTGCTGAATGAGTTGGATAATTGGTTAAATCTATTGCATATATATTAATACCATTCATATCGTCATTAATCAGTTATTGGCAGTTTCAACATTATTTGAAAAAACCGCCGAATTCAATTTTTATTTTAATGTATATTTACCCAACAATTTTTATTTTCTTTCCGTGGTAGCAACTCCCAAACATTAAACTAAAAGTTTGAAAAAAATTGTATTTTATTGAATAACAAAGAACAAAAATCCCCTTAAAAAAACAAAAAAAAAATTGTTTGGTCAAATTTTGGCCCAGCCTAGTCTGCATCTAGCTAGAGTACTTTACTAACAGCTACCGCCACCGTCTGAAATCCGACGCGTCATATTGCAGACCTGTGAGTCACCTGCATGGAGGTAACGCCTCTTCACAATTTCATATAAATATAAGTTTGCTTTCAATAAACTATTATTAATAAACCAGAACGCAAGCCTTTCATATCATGGCGATCCTGCCTAATCCAGCAATCTAAAAAAAAAATGAATAAATAAATAAAAACCAGATCCTGCCTAATAAGGCCACAGATCGTGCCTAACACGTCAACAGATCCTACCTAATACGGCAACAGATACTGACTACTATGACACAAGGACTCAACGAGGATGAGCACAAGCTATCAGGCAGCGGTAAGGAAGGCGCTAAAAGAGTGCCCAGCAGCAGACCGCCGCCGTCCAAGCCCTAGCCAGAAAAAGGCTTCTAAAGGAGCGGCTGACCACCATACCCAGCACTACCAAGGTCAGGACCCGAGGAGGTCAACTCGCAAAATTTCGACGACAGCGGGCCATATTACTGGATCAAGTAAACAGGGCCCCCTCAAAAAAAAATAGATACTACCTACAAAAAACGATGGCGAATGGTAGTTGATTATAGGGGCATAAACAAAAAACTTGTAGCCGATAAATTTCCACTACCCAGAATATATGATATTTTGGATCGATTGGGAAGGGTAAAGTATTTCTCTTGTTTGGATTTAACATCAGGTTTCCACCAAATTTAACTAGAGAAACAATCAAGAAATGTAACGACTTTTACAGCAGACAACGGTACATATATAGATAGCTTTTGCTCTGTTGAAGAGTCACCGGGAGGCTTTCGGGGTTCCCCCAGTTTCGGAGTCCACCATTAAGGTTTCTCCCGACCCCTAGTTTTACTAGGGGGACAAGGTTTGTCGAGCGCCGCATTGCAGGCGTCGGTAAATGTTTTCACCAGATCGGTCATGGTCTCCCGTGAGATGTCTTCCCCGGGTGGGAACTCAGCGAAAATACGGCCAAGGTGGTCTGAGTAACTAATCCAGTTTGTCCGCTTGAGGTTCCGGAATTGCACTGGGCTCGGTATGGCGAATGAGAAAACAGTTTCCACGTACCTCTGGTCCGAGAAGGAGTGTTCTTCCAGGACCCTCCAGAATACTATGTTTTTCTGTATCGTGTGAGAGGCAAGTGTGAGGTCCAGGACCTCCTCGCGATTTGTAATAATAAAGGTGGGATCGTTGCCCTGGTTTAATATGACCATCTGAGTGGTCAGTATATAGCTGAAAAGGGACTCACCCCGTTCATTGGTGTCGGTGCTTCCCCACTGACTGTGGAGTGCGTTGGCGTCGCATCCCACAATTAGCCCGATGTCCTTGGCCTCGCAGTCTGCGATAAGAACCCTTAGGGGTGCGTGTGGAGGGGGGTCAGGTTGGTCGTGACCCATATATGTGGCGCACATCCTCAGTGAGCTGTCCAGGCCTTCGAGGCTCACCTCTGTGTGATCTTCATCGCTCAAATTTGGGAGCAAAAATAAGTGTAACTCTCTTTTTGCAAGAATGCAGGTACGGATTTTACCTGTGGTGTCAGCTACGTATAGCTTATAGTCTTGAGTCCTGAGATCGCAAACCCTGTTTCCGAGGATCCAGGGCTCCTGAATGAGGACTATATCGGCTCCACCCTTGGCTAGGTGGAGCAGTAAGGCATCGCATGCTGCCTCACAATGGTGGAGATTTATCTGCAGGAGTGTCAGGGACATTCCTGAGACTCGCCTCCACCATTGTGTCGTCGGCATCGCAATCGGAGCACTCCATGTCCTTTCCGACATCGAGGCGTCCAAGAACCCTAGCTAGGTCGCTTGCATCAGACTCGTAGCGGTCAAAGATGTCGTCCGACATCTCCGACGCTACGTCCGACGCCGCGGTATAGCTTTCTGCTTTCGGGACCTCTGGCAGCTCAGGATCTGGCTGGATCTCTGCTTGCCTGCCCTTAGAGTCGGATTCACCTTCCGGTAGCCATAGTCCACTACTCCTTCCGACTTTTCGAGGAGCTCGAGGGACTCCTCATTGAGGACGAGGATTATTTGGCGCCTTTGTCCAGTGACCTCATCCACCTTGGCCACCTTCCAATCGGCTGTAAGAAGGTGTGGGCTGCAGAGCTGCAGAATCTTCAGGATCTGCTGAGCGCTGCCGCTTGGTTGGGGCATTAGCTTCGCCCTTTCCACCTTTGGCTGCCTGGAAATTTGGGATAATTGAGCTGGCCCAAAGCCTCTGCTCATTCGCCTTCACCGACGACCAGCTCCAAAATGCAAGGTAAACACGAGAGAGTTTATCTTATTCGGATGTACGCAAGGGTCGGTTACAATACTGATAGTATTTGGATTGTGCCACCTTTAATTCCCGAAAAAAAAACCCCGACACACCAATTTGACAATTGGGAATGTAAAAGGCCAACTAATTACTGAAAACGCGTCGTGCCTTGGTAGTAATCTATTTGGTACCTGGAGAATGGCTTAGGTGATGTGGCGATCGAAATACTTGCAATACTTGTTCGGAATCGCGGAATTTATTTTAAATATATGTCAGTATGCGTGGAGTATGTATGTTTGTATAGTGTGTGAACAAAAAAGAGCTGTTCACTTCACTGAGTGAACTGAACATGTTCACTAAATTTGTGTTCAGTAGCTCACTTGTTCAGTTGCTCACTCACTTGTTCAGTTGTTCCTTGTTCAGTGGTTCACTCACTTGTTCAGTTTTTCCCTGTTCAAGAATAGTCTGCGATACACAAGACAAAATTACTTTGCAGATCTTACACTTGGCCTTTTGGTAGTCAAAATGCTCAAAATGATCCCATATCGAACTTAATTTGCGTTTAAGAGACATATTTAGTGTTGAGCTAGCGAGCTTTTTCACTAGCTGTTGAATTTAGATTAAATTAAGAAGTCGAGCAATTCAATATACTTTATGTGTGTACAGTTTATTTGTTAAGTAGGCGAAATATAGGGTGCGTAGGTGTAGCGAAATAAAGCGAGAGGTGGCGGTTGATCAACTCAAAGCGAGAATTGAAGACGCAGGGTCTGTTCAATATGCGAGAGAAGTGAGTGATTGATCAAGACGGTAGAACGTGAGTGCGATAATGATGACGATCAATTAAAGACTAAAAGAGGGCAGGCGGACCGAATTGCGCGTGCCCTAATACAAGTGAGAGAGATAACGAAAGAAGCAATAGAAGCTCGGCTGCTGCTGAGCCGAGCACGAGCTATAGATAGAGAGGGAGAATGCGAAAGTAGCAGTAGCAAATGAAGAAGGAGATATAAAGAGGCGAAAGAACGGCCGCTGCCGTGAGTAATTATAATCGGTTACAATATATATATGCAGTGGGCAATGCAAATAGAAAACAAAGGTGAGATTACGTTAATTTGCTCCACTGGCTATTTTGAGGAATTTATTGGGGAATATCAGGCTGGGAAACCAGACATTTAGTTTTTTGTATTAAAATTTGCAATTCAAAGCAAAGACGCGACGCTTTAAGAGTTGCCACACAATTCATAAAAACAATGTTGCCACCGAGCAAGACGAGACGGAAGACGGAATTGAAGAACTACCGTAGCACTGGTAGTTGGAGTTGAAGAAATGGAGAACGGCCGGAATCGCCGATAATATGGCGGTGTCGAAATGAGAAGCGAAGAAATTGGGAACACAAATCGCAAATGGAAGAGATTTGCTGCAAACGAAAGTCATACTTATCTTAAGATCATCTTGCGGTGAAGTTGCTGCGCCAATGCTAGAAGGCTGGATTTTCCTTATAGGGAAGGCAAATATCCGGCTCGAAGGACCAATGTTTTAGCGTCTCAGGTGGGTCCCACAGCTGACAACTGCCCTGTTTGAAGTTTGCCTGTTTTCCGTGTTGAGTAGGAAAAGCGAAACATCCAGGTGACAATACGTAGTGAGAGAGTGTAGGAGCTTATGCTGATCAATTTCTTGAGTAAATAGTTGGCGATAATGAATGCGTTGTAAGTGCTTTTCCGCTGCTCAGTGTTGATCACCTCTGTATCTAGATTGATAAACTGATTTGTTGTCCAGTCCGCAGCAGGCGGCTTCAGTAAAGGTGGACTGGCAAACCACATTGAGGTTTCAAGTTCGTGGGTGGTGGCTCCTCGTGAGACGATGTCGGCAGGATTTGAGGAAGTAGGCATAGGACGTTAAGTCCTGGATTTCAGAGACTCGATTCCCAACGAACACAAGCAAGGTCACAGCGTGTTCCTTCAACCAGTCTAGGACTATTTGTGAGTCTGACCACAAGTGAGTAGAGTGCAGCTTATCGACAAGTAATGTTTGACCTGTTTGCTCCACACAATTCCAATTTAGGCAACGACATTTTCTTGACCAGAGCCACTCTTGATTTGGCCGTTATGAGGCTGACAGCAATGAAGCCACCAGCAACTTCGGTGCGAAGATAGATGCAGAAGCCGTACGCTCGAATAGAGGCGTCACAGAATCCGTGCACTTGGATCGATTGGCAATTTACTTTGAGGCAATACCGTGGTACCGACAGAGGGCAGTGGTTACCCCATCTGCGCATGAGTTGAATTGTTTGGCGTCGAGACTGTCGGGAGGATTCGAATGCCATTTTGTCAGAGGGAAGTGACCCCGATTCAGAATCTCGATGACTTCGTCCTTGATAGAGCGGAGACTCGCGAGATCATCAGCTCCAGTAAGCAGGTCATCAACGTAGAATGAGGATTTGATGATATCCTCGCCCCGGGAGAACTCAGCTCGATGAAGGTCTGCCAAGTGATGGAGACTGTGGTACGCTAGGTATGACACCGAGGCCGTTCCGTAGGTCACGGTTTTCAGCTGGTATGTACAAAGAATGTACTGATATTTGCGATCATTGGTATCAATCTTTACTTGCCTGTACATTTTGGTGACATCGGCTTTGATGGCATAACGGGATAGCCTGAAGCGCAGCAACAACATATATAACTCATTTCGCAGAGTCGGACAAACAAGCAGGATATCGTTTAGCGAAATTTGGTTGGACATGCGGCAAGAGACATCAAATACCACTCTTAGCTTTATGGATTTGGTACCCAGCTTAATAATGAGTAATGAGGCATGTGACACAAACTTTTGTATTTCTTCATAAACCCAGGAGAGCGTGAGATTCGGCGTTCCACACCTATGAACCTGCGACGAGCGATCTCAAGTGAGCTGCCGAGTGGGGATGGATTATCCTTAAATGGCAGTTTAGCGACAATGAGCCCATCCTCATCGAGTCGAGTTGATTGTAGAAAGCGTTCCTTACAGATCTTATGCTCAGGTTTGAGCTTTTTGATTGGGGTGCTAATTGTAGGCAAGTTAGGACCCAGTTTGACTTGGCCCACTGCAAGTATGTCAGTGAATGATTCAGAGTGCTTCAGTGCCAAACAAAATGTCAACGTTCCGAGCTTGGTAGAATCTTTCATTTGCTAACCGAATGTTGGGTGGGAGATTCCAAGCAGTTATATCAATCTCGGCATCAGGTTGATATGCTGAGATCCAAGAAAACTCAAACGGCGAAGTGCGAGATTTGATCGGCGTTGTTGTGAGAGACTTGATGCACGTCTGCGAATCGCCGATGCTGCGAATTTGAATGTCGTGTCTCTCTCGCGGAAGGCAGAGCTTCTGCGCGATAACGTTGGTAATGAAGCTTACCTGCGTTCCCTTGACGGAGTCCGATTGAGCGTGGGCATGTGCAGCGGCTTCGATCAGCTGAAATTAGGAATCTACTTTCTGTGACGATGTGGCCTGCAGCGTGTTGCTGTGGTGCAATAGAGTGTGATGTGATTGACCGCAGTTCAGACAGCGATAAGCTGAGGCATAAGTAGCCATTTGATGACCTTTAGAAAGGCAGTTGAGGCAGAGCCTATGCCTTTTCTCTTTTCCTTTTCCTACAACCATTGAACTGCCTCCATGACCTTGAACTGCTTGCACGCCATCAGCCTGTCTCCAAGATTAGAGCAGAGAATGCAAGCGATTTAGGATTGTTGATATTAGATCGATATAGATGATATTTTTTATTTTTGATACGATAATATCGGTACGATATTTTTGTCGCACACTATGTCAAGAATCGATAGTTTTAGAAAATATCGACCTTAACACTGCGCCACTAACCATACAGTATACAATACAAATACATGGCACACTCACAATTAAGTAGCCTGGAAACGAAACTCAAAACTAACTCAGAACGGTTTCGGAAAATAAGAATTGATAAATATTTTGTCGTGCCTGTGTACACACATACATTTTCAATTCTCGGCTTGCTTTCGCATCTCGTCATGTCGAAAAAAATGCCGAACGTCTCAGGTCCAACAGCCGAAGACCTGGGGACCTGGGACAGAAAATTCAGCTGCGACACGTTGGTGTATGAACTGGCACATCTATATACTGTATGTTTAGTGATATAGATCAACATTCCTTCGGGAATTTGCGTTGCAGTACCTAGGGACCACAGGGAGCTAAACAATGCCGCAGCATTATCAATTAAACTGCGTAATTGCTGAGGATTTAAAGGACTGGCAGACTGCAATTGGAAAATTGATAATATCGTTTCCATGAAGATTAGCGCAGGCTTGACATAGCGGGAACGCTGCTTATCCAAGCCTTTGGAATAATTTTCACTTGTAACCGGAAATGCTTTAATATTTAAAGAAAATGATTAAATTTCTCAATGTGTGACAATTTCTCCCGACCCATAAGCTGTATGAACGATGCGATAAAGTTTTTGTACGTATGGGTCCCATCGAAGGTTGGCAGCGTAAGTCGGTGAAGCCTTGACGAAGTCGATATTGTAACACAATTGTGATACGCGGCGGGCCGAGCGGATTTTCCTTTCAGGTTGGGGGGCTGAGCTTTAACGAAGGCAGAAGCCTAAACTTGGTAGCCGTCCTATTCCGTGAAATTATAACACACCTTCTCTTTATTTCTCCAGTTTATTCTTAGCACATAACCTTCGTGCCTGATCTTTTCTTCATACATGTGCTTTCTTCTTCTTCTTTTCTTCCCTACGTCTGCCCGTTCGAGATGACCGCTAACTATCGATAGCCCGGGTCAAGGGCTCTAAGGGCGCTAAACTTTGAATTCGATATTTCGTTACATTGCCCCCCTTTTAGAGTTGAGCCTCCTGGTCGACTTATTCAGGAACAGGTTCCTTGTAGCTCGCTAGTCGGTTTACGTGTACCGTCCTGGTGGCGCGTTTTCCGGGAAGGCGTATCTCGTAGACTAGGTCGGAAGAACTGCGGATCACGGTGGCGGGTCCAATCCAGTCTGATTGGAGTTTCGGACATCGTCCCACTTTCCGAACGGGTGCATACAGCCATGCGAGATCACCCGTCTCGAACTGGACGGTGTGGGAGCGTAGGTCGTAACGGTCCTTTTGCTGGTCTGCCGCGGCCTTCAGGTGTTCCCTTGCGGCATGATGCGTTTCTCGCAAATGAGATTGTAGTTTACCTACAAAGGCCGGGTAGCTCTCTGTGTCGGGTGTTGGGCGGCCATACAGCAGTTCACACGGCAATCGCACCTCCCGGCGGAAGGTTAACTTCGCGGGCGAGAATCCAGTAGCCTCGTGAACTGCTGCTCGGTAGGCCCACAGCGCCCACGGCAGTCGTTCATCCCAGTTCCGTTGATGGTCATCTACGAATTTAGCCAGATAGATGAGCAGCGTGCGGTTGAAACGGTCAACCATTCCATCTGATTGGGGGTGGAGGGGGGTGGTGCGGGTTTTCTCGATGTCCATTAATCGTAGGCAGGCTCGAAAAACTTCCGATTCAAAGTTCCTTTCTTGATCCGAATGAAGTACAAAGGGGACTCCATACCGGCAGAACACCTCTTCCGTTAGGGCGCACGCCACCTTCACTGCTGTCTGGTCCGGTAGAGCTAAGCATTCCGGCCACTTGGTAAAGTAGCACAAGACGACAGCTATGTATCGGTTATCCCGGGTGGTGGTGGCCCAGTATGTCGATGGCGATTCGTTCGAATGGGGCACCTATGGCACTGGGCTGGAGCCTGCCGACCGTTCGTCTGGCCGGACCGCTTCTGGCTTGACACGCCAAACAACGAGCGCAGTATATTGCTACGCCCGCGCTTAGCCCAATCCAGTAAAACAGTTTCTTAGCCTTGGCCAGAGTTTTCCTTATACCGAAGTGGCCTCCGGTGGAAGATTGGTGGACGGCTTGCAGGATTTGCGGCTGTACTGCGATCGGGATGACAGGGACCTGCTCGCCATCTCGGTTGGGGACCATAAGCACTAGCTCCTTCAGCTGTAAACGAGAAAATAGGTGCCAATAAGCTTTCACATCGGGACTCTCACCGCAAATTGTACTCTTCGGCGGCCTCTCTACTCGCACAACCGTACAACCACAACATAGACGACTGTTAGCTCCGTGTCTTTCTTCTGGTGTTCGCTTAGAGGTTCTGGTACTGCTTCTAGGAAAAGTACTCGACCCGCCTTTTCTTCTGCTCGCAAACTCGACAATCGTTGCAGGGACGGCGAGATAGTCCGTCTGCATTACCGTGGAGTTTCCCAGGTCGGTGCTGTATCTCCATATCGTACTGTTGCAGTCTCTCGATCCATCTTGCTACTTGGTCTTCCGGCTCCTGAAATGTGAAGAGCCTTTTAAGTGACGCGTGGTCCGTCCGTACGACAAATTTCTGTCCGTAGAAATAGTGGTGAAAATGTTTGGTGGCCTTAACTACGGCCAACAGTTCTCTTCGAGTTACGCAATAATTGCGCTCTGCAGGACTAAAAGTTTTGCTGTAATATTCGATGATCACCTCTTGACCGTTCTGCATCTGGCTCAGTACGGCGCCTACCCCATTTTCAGAGGCATCCGTGTCCAACACGAAAAGCTCTTTTGGTTCTGGAAAGGCTAGGATCGGAGCTGTAGTTAGCTTAGTCTTCAGCGTGTCGAAAGATTGCTCCGTAGCTGTGCTCCAGGTAAAGGTGCGCCGAGCCTCCGTCAATTCGTGGAGGGGTTTGGCGATCGTTGCGAAGTCGTTGAAAAATTTCCGGTAATAAGAGCAGAGCCCTACAAATGAGCGCACCTCCTTTTGGTTTTGCGGTCTTGGCCAGTCAGTGACTTTAGTTATCTTTTCCGGGCAAGCCCGCAGACCCTGACTGCCCACCACGTCTCCTAGAAAGTTGACCTCGTTCTTCAAAAATTGACATTTCTTTGGGCTCAGTCTTAATCGCGCAGGGGATACGAGTCTTTAATCGTGACGTCATTGAGCCTTCGGTAGTCCACGCAGAACCTGGTCGCACCATCCTTCTTACGGACTAATATTACAGGTGAGGACCAGGGGCTGTTGGAAGGACGTATCACTCCGTTGGCGCGCATCTCCGCTAGCAGGCGCTCCACTTCTTCTCTCTTCGCTAGCGCCAACCGCCGGGGTGGTTGCTTATGGGGCCGTGCTTGCCCCGTGTTTATGACATGGTGCGTGATGTCGGTCTTGCCCGTCTCGTCGTCGTTTCTGGCAAATGATTTGCGATAACGACAGAGCAACTTCACAGGCGGCTTCCGGACGCCAAGCTCGACGTAATCTAGCAGAGGATTCCAATCTATGGGGCCTCGTCCGCTGGATCCTCTTTCGATGCCCTGTTCTTCGTCGTACGAAGGCAGTGTCCCAGGTTGAAAGGCAGTTACTCGGCCGCTTGAAGGTCGCAGGGTAGAGGCGGCCTGTGGACTCTCTGGGAACACAGTCACCGCGTCGTTTTCCCCTGCATCCACTGCGAACGTCCATGCGGCGGGTGGTCTGGCCACTGTTTTTGGGGAAGGGACCGACGAATTTCGTGGGGGGGCCTAAATTACACGTTGCATCGCGATGCCGTTGAAACGAATCGAACATCTTCTCTATTTTGAGATCCATCTGGTGCTGGGAAGCGGTTAAAATCGCCGTCAATGAAGCTGGCGTCACTACCTCGGGCTCCGGGTTCACGGAACGGTCACGTTTTTTTGCTTCTCGTTTTGACATTATGGCTTGAGATCGTTGCCGATCTGATCGCTAACCCCACACCTGACACCAATGTAACAAAATTGTGTTACGCGGCGGGCCGAGCGGATTTTCCTTTCAGATTGGGGGGCTGAGCTTTAACGAAGGCAGCAGCCCAAACTTGGTAGCCGTCCTATTCTGTGAAATTATAACACACCTTCTCTTTATTTCTCCAGTTTATTCTTAGCACATAACCTTCGTGCCTGATCTTTTCTTCATACATGTGCTTTCTTCTTCTTCTTTTCTGCCCTACGTCTGCCCGTTCGAGATGACCGCTAACTATCGATAGCCCGGATCAAGGGCTCTAAGGGCGCAAAACTTTGAATTCGATATTTCGTTACAAAATGAATGTTTGAGTAAGTAATGAAGCAATGCAAGATGAAGCGATACGAGGCGCAGTTCAGCATAAATTCTGACACTAGCGCAGGTGTTCAGTTTGAGTTGCGAATCCACAGAGCAGAGTATGAAAATAAGAGGGGGAGTACTTATGAGTGCATGACACTACACTACTACTAACGGTTGACCTTTATTTCTATAACAGAAAACTACATAACATTCAGCAGATAAGAAAACCGATGGAATATTTAAAAAATAAACAAGTATCATTTTATTAGAAAAATTTAATAATTTAATAAATAGTTAAGTACATTTTTCAGTCTTCTACAAAAATGATTTATTCAACTATGCCTATTTTCATGCATTCATCTTTTAAAAAATGGTTTATACTAAGTTTTAGACTTATTTGTGTCCATAAATAATTTTAAAAATATTTATAAGACCTAATCCAGCGGTATTACTGTAAGAGGTATAAGGGTATTTTTTGTATGTATTTATATATGTATGTTCGGTACGAGTCTTTGCAAAGCTATTATGTTCTTGGCCACAATACTAGGGGAAAACATTTGGCCGGCAAGGCCACACTGGCCTGATTAATATTAATTTTGGATATATCAGCACTGGTGACGTTATAAGACTGCACAATATTTGCTAATAAAATGAACCCAAATCCCCGAACCAGATTTTGTCCTATACACGTGCGCTTGCCTATACTAAAAGGGAGGAAGTGAGGAATATTTTTTTTCAGCTGGTATCCACATTTCTCTTTATATGTTTTTTTGTTTTTTTTTGAATATTTTTTACTTGAAAGCTTATCAATAATTATTGTGTGTACATCCGTTTCTTTTTCAAACTCTATACCGGAGTCAGACTCCTCCGAACTGCGTCTATTGTCGTTGCATTTTACATATTTCCAGGTGTTTCTTTTATAATTTTCATCCAGAAATCGTTTCGGTTCAAAATGATCGGGAGAGTTCCAATACTTTTCACTCATGTTTAGCATATAGTTGTTAATAAAAATAATTGTGCCTCTCGTGACGCCAAATCCAGCAATAGCTGTATCTTCCATTGCTACATGGGGAACAATAGGAGATGACGAATATCGGAGGACTTCAAAAATGGTAGCCATTGTATAGGGCATTGCGTCCATGTCATGAAGGTTTATTCTGCGACGCCCTTTATTTGAAACGATATCAGCTTCATGTTCAATTCTACGACCAATCGTTGGATTTTTGGCTATGTAGGCAAGTGCTAACATAACCAAATTTCCGACAGCCGAGTGCCCACCGATAAAATCTTCGAGCATAAATATAATCGTGTTACGCGATACATCTTGGTCTTCTTTTAGACTTCTCAGTAAGGCATCTGTAAAGTCGTTTTCAGGTTCGTCTAAATCGATCATTTGTTCGCGTTGATGAATAACCCTATCCAAAATAAATTTACGTATTGTTGTGGACCATTGCACTATTTTTTTGGTATGATTCTTATAAAAAGGTAGCATCCATGGTAGGAAATCTAGCGAATATCCTTGGTTAATTTCCCAAAAAATTTCGTCAAAGTATCTCACTATTCGTCGAAATTCCTTGTCACTATAATCAAACCGTATCGAGCACATATATTGGCAAAACATATTGGCGCTAGCTCCAAGAATTAATTTTTTTATATCGAAGGGTTTTCCAGGTTGGGCTTTGCTTAGCTCACGCATTAAGTGGTTGATCTCATTGCAGCCGATTTGAGACATTTTATTAAAATATGGAGACGATTCCCGCGGAGAACAATGCCGTCGAGCTAAGTTTCGCCGTTTTTGTTGCAAGTGTGACCAGTCGCACAGCGCAAGTGCTATAAAATAAAAAATAGATAAAAAATAAGTTTTACATATATATATATATATATACAGATTTCCGTCTTTTGTGGGGGCGGAAGGGGCGGGGCGAAATTTGGAAATGCACTTGTAGCAGTGTGATATCACATGAGTCTGGGAACAAAATTTGGTTGCTCTAGCTTTTATAGTCGCTTAGATCCAGGCGACAAACAAGACGGACAGACAGACATAGCTCTATCGACTCGGCTATTGATGCTGATCAAGAATATATATACTTTATGGGGTCGGAAACGTTTCCTTCTCTGCGTTACACACATCCACTTTTACAACAAATCTAATATACCCCTTAACTCTTTGTGAGTACGGGTATAAAAAATTGGTCAGGGTAACAACAAATAGTGAATTTCTCCGAACAGCTGTGGCAGCCCGATTTGGCTATCGATAAATCTCTGTTAAACATACTAGGGGCCTTTTTGTATGGCTGGCACTAACGCGTGAGTATAACAGCAGACAATTTGGCGCATAACAGTACAGGGAGTAAATAAATCAACTTTTTTGGGTTCTAGAGCGCCTTGAAATGAAAAGTATGACTTTCTGCTAAAAAGTAAAACGCAAAGTGCATGTGAAACCCGGTGCCTGATGAATGTTTTTTTATATTTGCAAAAAGAGAGCACTTTCTCTCCTTCTACCGGCAGCTCACCTTCAGCTGTGGATTGACGGCTGGCACTAGTAGGGCCAATGTACTGCTAATTAAGCAATTTTCGTTTTATGCTGAGGAAAATTTCTGTTCACCAAATCAGTGTTTTATAATTGACAAAGTACTGACAAAGTACAAAGTACTTTTCCAAAGTTTTAAATCGATTTTTGTTACTAAAATAACGAGTACGGTGACCTGTTCGCTAACAAGAAAAGCCCATAATTTATTTTAAGGTTCAGTAAACTATTGCGTTTCAAAATTAATCAGTTCAATTTCAATCATTTTACATATACCTTTTCGGACCTAGGAATAGTGAAGATTTCAAGTGAAACTTGAATACCGAATATCGAATACCGAATACCAGTAAAATTAGACTATAATAAAGTCAATAAAACTCTGGCATCAAACACACATTTTATTTTATATTTAATGGACGAGGGAAGCACATTAGCACATACATTTTTATACCCGTACTCTTAGGTATAAGCACTATTGAGGAAGCCATTAAATGAATACAAAAACCCGTACTCAAAAAAGAGTTAAGGGGTATATTAGATTTGTGGTTAAAGTGGATGTGTGTAACGCAGAGAAGGAAACGTTTCCGACCCCATAAAGTATATATATTCTTGATCGGCATCAATAGCCGAGTCGATAGAGCCAAGTCTGTCTGTCCGTCTTGTTTGACGCCTGGATCTCAGTCTCATGTGATATCACACTGCTACAAGTGTATTTCAAAATTTCGCCCCGCCCCCTTTCGCCAACACAAAGGACGAAAATCTGTGGCAGGCACATTTTAAAAGATACGATAAAACTAAACTAATGACCATATCTACCAGACTGCCGAATCTGAATCAGATCGGATCATAATTATAGCCAGAATGAAGAAATTCATTTTCAGTTGCTTCCCCTGCCCCCTCCGGCAAACAACAACGCAACACATTTTCCTTCTCGCTCGCACACTCTGCCGCGTTCAGTGCGCGAGCAACCCCTAGCGGAGGAGATGCAGAATCTAAAAGGTACATGTATAATCTACATGTTAGATGTAGAATATACATAATATATGTAGATGTAGATAACAGATGTACCAAAACAATTTTTTTTTATTCTAAAATTCTAAAAAATTATATGCTCAAAAATGTAAATACTGACTGAGTACGGATATAAGTAGAGTCGCGTCTTTAGAAGCGACTCACACGTTGCTTCTCGTTCTTTTTAATTTTTCATTTTTTATCTGTCGGTCTTCTGTTTCTGTTGACAAATTACAAAATATACTTGTGCCTGTTAGATACACCTATACCTACAATCTTCTAATTTGTAATTATTTTTATTTTATCTCTTCTTTTTATCGAACTGTTATTGTTCTTTTAATTTTAATCTTTTTGTACTATATACTATACTATAAACATTCGTAATATATATTAGCAGATAATTTTTAATTTTAAATCTATACATATGTATAAAAATGGAAAGATAAAAATGTATAGTGCATTACCACGTGAGAACGGCTGGGCAGATTTGGTTTAAATTTTTATTCAGTTGTTTGTATTTGCCAGAAGAATGTTTTTACTTAAAAAAATACATCGATCGCGAACAAATTTTGTTCAGTTGTTCTTACGAAACAAAATTTCAGAAAATTAACCTACGATCGCGACAAAAGTGTGGAAGTAGGCGAAGAGGCAATTTTTATAGTTGAAGATCAGTTCTAAGCTACAGTTAATGTTAATCAACTGAGTTATTTGCTTGACTAATGCCTGTTAAGTAGGCGAAGAGGCAATTAACATAGTCGAAGATTAGTTCTAAACTCAAGATATTATTCATCAATCGAGTTATACAATGTCAGCTACTAGACGATCAAACCTTGGCCGACGTACACGTCGTGAAATAGGTAATTGGAATGTCTCTATTAATCTAACGCTGGAGGAACGTGTAGAAGTAAATAATTGGAGACGTTCCACAGGTTGCACAGGTTCGCGCTGCACAATTCTGAGGTATTCGACCAGTAGACTTGAATCGCGCTGCTTTAGAATACGATTGCGAAATAGCTTACCCAGATCTTTGCTGCGTTGATATCGGGTCATTGTCTGTCGTATACCAGCATTGCAATGCATTGAAGTTTCAATCGGAAACCTCGGCATATGCTGCGTTGGTGGAATGGTAAAAATTGTCCGTTTTGACTCATTCGCCAAAACCATTGTATTCGTTGCTCTATGAAATTTTTAATATTGAAATTTGAACTATTTTTTTTATTATCAATCTGGAGTTTATCTGAAGGCAAGAAAATATGGCAAGACAACGTTCGCACGGACCGCTAGTACATTATAAAATAAAATTAAAAAACTTATGTTAGCTTCAGAAAGAGATTGTTAAGACATATACGTAGAACACAGTTTAGTTTACAACATAATAAAACGAGAAGGAACGTTGTGAATCGCTCTGTGGCCGCGACTTTACTTTTATACTATATAGTATATATACTATACCGTACTCAGTCAGTATATATGTATGTGAGCTTATGATTTATGTGAAACTTTTAATATTTGATGTGGCGTTTCATCTACAATTCATCTACAATGGCGAATATACATCAACAATGTAGATAATTCATCTACAGTTTATATTCTACGTCCACAACATGGACACGGACATGGCTATATCGACTCGCTATTGATGCTGATCAAGAATATATATACTTTATGGGGTCGGAAACGTTTCCTTCTCTGCGTTGCACACATCCACTTTTACCACAAATATACCCCTTAACTCTTTTTTGAGTACGGGATTAAAAAGAAGCGTTACCTCTAAGTTTTCAAAAAATTCAAAAAAAGTACGATTTTGTCGAATAGTGTTATCTGTGGGTGCACGAGTTCCCAAAGGCCTTCTAAGAGTAAAGAACAGCAAACAAAGCCTTGATAAATCTGCCAGTGCAATCAATACCGCCTATGGAAACGGGTAATAAAAGGCTTTGTAAAACTTTTTTCAACAAGCTATAGTTATTTTTGATAGCTGCAAAATTATTTCAATCCCATGACTTTATGTATGTATTATATGTAGATATGAACAGTCGACCTCTTTTAGAAATTTGTTTAAACTAATAACAAAAACGTTTAAGACTTTACATTGTATTTTGCTTATACTTACAATTGTTTCGATCACCACCAAAAAGTTTATGATATCGTATAAAGTCCGGACGTCCGCCAATAAATTTACCATTTTTATTAAGAACTTCTCGAATTAAATCTAAGCTATTTACTACCAAGCATCTTGAGTGACCAAGGGTCAATGAATATATATCACCATATTGCTGTGTTAATGCTCCAAGACCCTCGAAAGGGTTGCATTTAAATCGACCTAATAGATCGAGGTTCCCGATAATTGGCCAGGGTTGCGGACCAGGAGCCTGATCAAATTTTCTAATTGATTTTTCAGGATTAGAAATACCGATTCTGATAGTGGCTTTTCGATTGCACTTAAAAATTATTAATACGTAAGAAATCACTATCGATATAAAGCCAATAGCGATTATCAAATAGCACACCGAGAAAAACATGCTTGTTTCTTGCGCAAATGTTCGCTCAAAGAAATTACTAGTTAGCTCAATATTCTCGACTAAACCAGATATCTGTTTGTGCCAGGTATTTATATGCACTCTCAGCGACAAAGATTGAGTCGCATTTTTAACGTTCTTGTTATTCGAAGCACTTTCTTTAGTTTTCACATTTGAATGTCTAAAGTTAAAGCGCAAAGTTATATATCATTCTTATTTGAATGTGCATACATGTATGTATGAACGTACGTAAATCCGATCAACGTGAGCCAACTCAAACCTAGGAAGTTAAAAGTACATACATATGTATACAAATACATATATTCATGGGCATACGTATTGACATGTTTATACATACACACGATTACACACTCGAACATGTATGTATATTGATGTATGAACGTATTCAGGTGTTCTTAAGGTGGTGCTAAATGTTGATATTACTTAATGCCAAAGATTGAGCAAAGAAATTGTTATATATATATATATAAAAAACTCTCAAACGGCTGGACCGATTACACTACTCGACAAAATTTAACTTTTGATTTAGGCTGTGAACCAAAATGACTTTTTCTGATAGATTTCGGGATTTAAAAATTTTTCAAATCTGGTATTTTTTTCTTGGTTTTTTTCAGAGGTAGTGCTTTTATTTTTCACATAACTTTAGTATCTTATATCTTGTTGCATAGAACTTTGCAGTTCTGAAAAGCTGACAAACGCAGCTACAAATCCGACGTTTTTTGGTCAAACGGCTCCAAATTGACCGTTTATCCATAGATTCTAATGAGCAATACCTCAAACGCCCAATTAATGCGTTTATCCAAAACCAAAAATGTTGGCCAAGAATAATTTTTTTTCGACTTTTCCCGAGTTTTAAAAGACAGAATTTCGAAAAAAAAATACCGCAAAAAATGATGAAATTTGAATTTGAAAGCTTAATATCTTCCAGGCGTTAAGCTGCAGATACAAAAAGTCTTGGTCAGATTTATAGCTGCGTTTGTCAGCTTTTCAGAACTGCAAAGTTCTGTGCAACCAGATATAAAATACTTAAGTTATGTGAAAAATAGAAGCACTACCTCTGAAAAAAAATACCAGATTTTAAAAAACTCTTTAAAAAAAAACTACACCATAAAAAAAACCATAATTCGTTAAACATTTTTAAACCCCGAAATCTATAAGAATATAAATTTTGGGCCACAGCCTAATTCTAGTGTTGACTAGTGTTATTTGAAATTTTTGTCGTATATTAAGTAGGTCTGCGCATAGGTAGTAAAGTATTTTTGATCTTCATATTACCACCAATTAACTTCTAATTGCGGTTTTAATGTTTTTGGAACAATTAGTGCCTTGATTTAGTTTTCAGAGTGTTTTGTGACAAATAATATTGTCGCAATAATGTTGCATGATTTGTGTGACGGTGCAACGAAATGAACAAAGACAACGCCAACAAGTACAAAGAGCATTTACATCTGCTTCGTTCCTGCGTCTATTCCGCACATCAGAAAGTATTGCTTGGTTCTAAGGACAAAGAATGTTCCCATTGCCACGCTCTCAAACATTAACATGAGTCAAATGGTATGTGCTGCATCAGGAATAGTGCAACTACCTCAAATTGAAAAACCACCGGAACCATTGAAAAGCTTGCTCATCCCCACGGATCCAGATTCAAACATCTTCCTGAAGTCTATTCGAAAATTAAATTAAAATTAAAATTAAAGGACAAGTGTACCACAAAGTAGGCACATTGCTGCCAATGACAACCGAAGCATAATTTTTTACAAATATACTTCATGGGTGGTAAGGACATAAATCGCGCACTCGCCAATCGCGTAGATGCACGTTGCGGTTACAATAGCCTTTATTTGGAAATAGCCAGTCGCATAGTTAGAGAGGTGAACGAACTACTTAATCAGCACAATTAATTATTGAAATTATTCTTCAAACAAAAATTTAAGTCTTTAATGAGATTCATTACAAAATTACACGTATTCAGACAAAAAAAAATGCTGGATGTATTCAGTTGAACGGCAAAAATGAGGATGCACACATGCTAATTTGGTTAATCGACAAAATACTCCCTGAGGAAATAGACAGTTTTTTTTCCGCGGAAATTTCAGATCCGTCTACTGATCAACTTCAGTTAGATATACTTACCACAAACAAAATTCATGGGCCATGCAGTCATAAGAATCGCAAATCGCCTTCCATAAAAGATGGAAAATTTACAAAGCGATTTTACCAACGTCGATAAATATCCAATATATTGAAAAAGAAATATTGATAATTGTGTACAATCATTCATGATAAAAATCATCAACGTAGACATTGACAGTCGATAGGTAGTGCCATATTCTAATCTGCTAAGCAAACCAGTCACATTATTGTTGAGTTCTGCAGCTCAGTGATGCTCTGATGTGAATGTTTCACGAAAAGAATGGAGATAATACGAGATTATGTTTTTTATACCCGTACTCAAAAAAGAGTTAAGGGGTATTATACATTTTTGGTAAAGGAGAAGAAGGAAACGTTTTTGACCTCATAAAGTATATATATTCTTGATCAGCATCAATAGCCGAGTCGATATAGCCATGTCTGTCTGTCCGTCCGTCTGCCCGTCTTGATGAGCGCCTAGATCTCAGAGACTATAAGAGCTAGAAAAACCAAATTTGATTTCCAGATTCATGTGATATCACACTGCTACAAGTGTATTTCAAAATTTCGCCCCGTCTCCTTCCGACTCCAACGACGGACGAAAATCTGTGTCAGGCACAATTTTAAAGATACGATAAAACTGAAAACGCAGTATCGTAGAGAACGCCCATATCTACCAGATACCGAATCTGAATCAGATCGGATCATAATTATAGCCAGAATGAAGAGCCAGAGACACGCTCTTCATTCTCTTTCTCGCTCGCACACTCTGCCGCGTTCAGTGCGCGAGTACATCTATAATATACATGTTAGATGTAAAATATACATTGTAGATGTAGATAACAGATGTAGAAAAAAAAATGTAAAATGTAACATTTTTTTTTAATTCTAAAATTCTAAAAAATCATTTACTCAAAAATGTATATACTAACTGAGTACGGGTATAAGTAGAGTCGCGTCCCCAGAAGCGACTCACACGCTACTTCTCGTTCTTGTATTGCCATTCTAAGCTAATTACTGCAGCTGTAAATTGGACCCAAATCCTGTTTAGCTTACTGTCTGGGAAATATTAGGCATTCAAAATCAAAATTTATCATTTTTTGCGGTATTTTTTCAACAATTTGACCGCGGTTGTTACCTTGTTGGTTGGGTCCGTGCAGTATACGTGATCAGCCTGCAACATGGCATCAGCTTTGAAGTAGCGGTGGATTGAAATGGGCGTAGTTAAAATCAAATGCTCCTAACTTTTGTCATAAATCCATAAAAAAAAAAATATATAATAAATTAAGGTATGAGCAATGAAATACGAACAACCGTTGTAATACAAATAAAAAATGTATTCCAAGTCTGATAAACTTCAATTTTCCATATGTTTTTATATAGCTGAAGTTTTGAAGTTTTACAAAAAACTTTCATGACCATAGCTATCAGCCTTTCTTATATTTTAAAGTACCTTGCGCATAGCCTTCTGAATTCCCTTTGTATCCATTTTAGCAAGATTTCTGAGATTATTAATGTTAAGCAGTCTATGTTTTTTTTAGCTTATATCCCTTGCTGCAAGCATTTCTTTTCAAATTTGCACTATAGTTTTCAATTGGCCTTAACTGAGGCACATTCGGAGGGTTTTTCAGCTTAGGCATAAACTTAATGATCAAGTGGTCAAGAGCCTCATTAGTTGCTGTGGCGCATTGAGCAGACGCTAAGTCGGGCCAAAATACCGTATTATTATTCGCATGATACTTAACAATACATTTTTTAAGCGTCGGTAGACAATTGTTCTTATTATTTTGCGCATTCACAGCTAATCCTGCCATAAATAAGATAGGATCGCTGATTCCACACTCGCTTATGGCCAGCCCCAATAAGCCCTTCTTAGGAAACTTTATTTTTGTAATTTAAGTATTAGAAAGCTTAAAGTAATATCAGCCTTTCTTATATTTTAAAGTACCTTGCGCATAGCCTTCTGAATTCCCTTTGTATCCATTTTAGAAGGTTTCTGTGATTATTTTTTTTAGCTTATATCCCTTGCTGCAAGCATTTCTTTTCAATTTGCACTATAGTTTTCAATTGGCCTTAACTGAGGCACATTCGGAGGGTTTTTCAGCTTAGGCATAAACTTAATGATCAAGTGGTCAAGAGCCTCATTAGTTGCTGTGGCGCATTGAGCAGACGCTAAGTCGGGCCAAAATACCGTATTATCATTTGCATGATACATCAATACATTTTTTTAAGCGTCGGTAGACAATTGTTCTTATTATTTTGCGCATTCACAGCTAATGCTGCCATAAATAAGATAGGATCGCTGATTCCACACTCGCTTATGGCCAGCCACAATAAGCCCTTCTTAGGAAACTTTATTTTTGTAATTTAATAGGCTGTTTACATTGGGACTGCGTCATGCTTCTTTGCGTCTTGGCGAAGACGCAGTTTGTTTTACATAGGTTAAGCATAGGGCCCTAGTGGTGGCAAAAAGTTGCGTCGGTCTCTGATTCATGTGCGTCTATTCGATATATTCGATTGCTTTTCGCTTAACTGCACATTTTAGCACTTTTCTGCCTATCAGCGCAACTATCACCGCTAAGAACAACAAAAACTTGTAGTTAAAAAATCAAATTTTGGCGCTAAAATGAATGGTTGTGCAAAAAGGTGAAAATATACTTAAAATCATGAAATAAAATACTTGAAACTGATTGTATTATTATCATACAACATTTGTGTGATCCCCTGATGCCATTATGACACTGCTGGAGACGAACTTCGATGGTTTTCATAATTTTAAGAAGAACTCCCACAAGCTCTACAAATAAATGTCTGAAAATAATAAATAAATATAAGAATCAATTCTCTTTCGTCCATTTTCTTGTCGTCTTGCATAATTCTGTTGATTTCTCAAAATTTGTTTACTTTCCTTGTCATCAAGCACCCAAAACAAAATTCAAGACGCACGTCTGCCAATGTAAACGCCTTTACTGCTTCATTGCGTCTCTTCCGATATCGATAGCAGACGCGCCCAGTGTAAAAAGGCTATTAGTATTAGAAAGCTTGAAGTAATATTTCGGAGTCCATTCATGACCCTCTACTGTCTCATCATTCATTATGAAAACTTATGAACAGCTAACAGAAAAAAAATTTCTAGAAAGCGCTGGCAGCCGAAGTTTTATTGTCTCTCGCTGTACTTCTGTGACTTTAGGAACGGTTTTTTTTTAGAACATTCCCCAACACTCCCATGTCTTTCGTACACTTTTTCACATTTTTGTCGCTGACATCGTATTTTTTGACAAGCGCACGATACAATTAAGCTGTGGGACCCTCAATTTCAACCTAAATTTTACTTTTAATTACCCGAAGCTCTATCCCTTTTTTTCCATTCTGAGCATCCGAAATTACTTTAAAAATAAAAGATTTTTGGAAGCCCATACCAAAAAAGTAAGGAAAAATTTAATTTTTCGGCTGAGATGGGTTATGATGTGCATATCAATTTTCGAGGGTCTGCTGTGCTCAGAGACATTACCGCGACTACTCCTTACCTTTAAAGCTCATTTTTATTTATTTATTTATGTATTACTAGCAGATCCGCTCGCATCGCTGTTTTCTAAATCCATTTAATGTTTAGGAATTCCTCGAAATTATACAATGATAATCATAAATAGTAAGCGTAGAACGTCCGCACATCCATCCTCGTTATCTTTTCTCAATATGTCAGCAAACAATGATCAGGCAATTGCCGATCTTTTTGCCAAATTTTTCCAAACAACCTATTCTCATGAAAGCTACTCTGGTCAGCCGTATCCATACAGTTTACAAGGTCGAATAGCATCTTCAGCCCCTTCTTAAATGAAAGCTGCTTCATGATCTTCGACTAGTTAAACCGATGTTTTCACCAGGTCCCGACGGAGTTCCCGGCTGTGTACTCAGGTACTGTGCCGACGCTCTGTGTGGACCCTTTCTTAAACTATTCACCCTATCCATTAACTCTTCATGCTTCCCCCCATCTGGAAGGAATCTTTTATTATTCCGCTCCATAAGAAAGGTAGCAAGTCTGATGCTGATGTTAGCAAGTCTGATGCAAATAATTATAGAGGTATATCTAAGTTATCCGCTATTCCTAAAATGTTTGAAAAAATTTTAACTCCGCACTTGCAACATCTCTGCAAATGACTTATATCTCCGTCCCAGCACGGATTTATAAGGCGACGATCAACAACCACAAATTTATTAGAGATTACCTCTTTTATCATTAAAGGCTTTCAAGGTAACTTGCAGACGCATGTCATTTACACTGATTTTAGTAAAGCATTCGATTCTGTAAACCATTCCCTTTTAGCACAAAAACTTGACCTTTTAGGGTTTTCGCCTAATCTTTTGAGATGGATTTCTAGCTACCTTCGTTCTAGGTCTCAAAGAGTCCTCTTCAAAAACTCCTTCTCTTCACCTGTTAAGGTTACTTCTGGAGTACCACAGGACAGCCATCTAGGCCCGCTCCTATTCCCAATCTTTATTAATGACCTGCCTTTAGTATTAACAAACTCTCGAGTACTCATGTATGCGGATGATGTTAAACTCTGTGTATAAGTATAAGGACAGTGTATTCTGACGACGCCTATAAAACGAAGGCTCTCTATATCTCGCTTGTTCGTTCGATTTTAGAGTACGGCTCTTGTGTATGGTGCCCCCAGTACAAAGTACACCAAAACCGTATAGAATCAGTCCAGAAAAACTTTTTATTTTTTGCTCTGCGTGGCCTTAACTGGGATGCAGGTGTGAGACTGCCATCTTACCCTCGTAGATTGCTTTTAATAAACCCTCCAACCTTAGTTAGTCGTAGAAAAATGCTTGGTGTGATTTTTATGCACAACCTGATCAAGGGTGACGTAGATAGCCCTGACTTGTTGAGCCGCATAAACTATACGATTCCTGTTAGATCTACTAGAAACTTTATTTCTTTGTTCCTTCCGCTTTGTAGATCGAATTATTCCTTGCCCGAACCTTCCGATATCGATAGCAGACGCGCCCAGTGTAAAAAGGCTATTAGTATTAGAAAGCTTAAAGTAATATTTCGGAGTCCATTCATGACCCTCTACTGTCTCATCATTCATTATGAAAACTTTTGAACAGCTAACAGAAAAAAAATTTCTAGAAAGCGCACGCAGCCGAAGTTATATTGTCTCTCGCTGTACTTCTGTGACTTTAGGAACGGTTTTTTTTTAGAACATTTCCCAACACTCCCATGTCTTTCGTACACTTTTTCACATTTTTGTCGCTGACATCGTATTTTTTGACAAGCGCACGATACAATTAAGCTGTGGGACCCTCAATTTCAACCTAAATTTTACTTTTAATTGCCCGAAGCTCTATCCCTTTTTTTCCATTCTGAGCATCCGAAATTACTTTAAAAATAAAAGATTTTTGGAAGCCCATACCAAAAAAGAAAGGAAAAATTTAATTTAGGAATTCCTCGAAATTATACAATGATAATCATAAATAGTAAGCGTAGAACGTCCGCACATCCATCCTCGTTATCTTTTCTCAATATGTCAGCAAACAATGATCAGGCAATTGCCGATCTTTTTGCCAAATTTTTCCAAACAACCTATTCTCATGAAAGCTACTCTGGTCAGCCGTATCCATACAGTTTACAAGGTCGAATAGCATCTTCAGCCCCTTCTTAAATGAAAGCTGCTTCATGATCTTCGACTAGTTAAACCGATGTTTTCACCAGGTCCCGACGGAGTTCCCGGCTGTGTACTCAGGTACTGTGCCGACGCTCTGTGTGGACCCTTGCTTAAACTATTCACCCTATCCATTAACTCTTCATGCTTCCCCCCCATCTGGAAGGAATCTTTTATTATTCCGCTCCATAAGAAAGGTAGCAAGTCTGATGCTGATGTTAGCAAGTCTGATGCAAATAATTATAGAGGTATATCTAAGTTATCCGCTATTCCTAAAATGTTTGAAAAAATTTTAACTCCGCACTTGCAACATCTCTGCAAATGACTTATATCTCCGTCCCAGCACGGATTTATAAGGCGACGATCAACAACCACAAATTTATTAGAGATTACCTCTTTTATCATTAAAGGCTTTCAAGGTAACTTGCAGACGCATGTCATTTACACTGATTTTAGTAAAGCATTCGATTCTGTAAACCATTCCCTTTTAGCACAAAAACTTGACCTTTTAGGGTTTTCGCCTAATCTTTTGAGATGGATTTCTAGCTACCTTCGTTCTAGGTCTCAAAGAGTCCTCTTCAAAAACTCCTTCTCTTCACCTGTTAAGGTTACTTCTGGAGTACCACAGGACAGCCATCTAGGCCCGCTCCTATTCCCAATCTTTATTAATGACCTGCCTTTAGTATTAACAAACTCTCGAGTACTCATGTATGCGGATGATGTTAAACTCTGTGTATAAGTATAAGGACAGTGTATTCTGACGACGCCTATAAAACGAAGGCTCTCTATATCTCGCTTGTTCGTTCGATTTTAGAGTACGGCTCTTGTGTATGGTGCCCCCAGTACAAAGTACACCAAAACCGTATAGAATCAGTCCAGAAAAACTTTTTATTTTTTGCTCTGCGTGGCCTTAACTGGGATGCAGGTGTGAGACTGCCATCTTACCCTCGTAGATTGCTTTTAATAAACCCTCCAACCTTAGTTAGTCGTAGAAAAATGCTTGGTGTGATTTTTATGCACAACCTGATCAAGGGTGACGTAGATAGCCCTGACTTGTTGAGCCGCATAAACTATACGATTCCTGTTAGATCTACTAGAAACTTTATTCCTTTGTTCCTTCCGCTTTGTAGATCGAATTATTCCTTGCCCGAACCATTTAGGGTCCTATGCTCGGACTTCAATTCCCTCTACCTTATCCACTACTAATTCCCTTCCTCTTCTTAAATCACTAATACTAACATACCTTTCCCGTAATTAGTACTATTTATTAGCTATCTTTGCATGTTTAGCTCTTTGAGTTGTGTTTAGCTCTAATTTTCCTCGAATTTTAGTCTAACACCTATCTTTCCTGCATGCTCGCGATCGGTTCGGTAACACGCGTCGCGCGTCATGTTGGGCGGGAGGAGGGGCTTCGTTTCTGCCTGGGTTCCGCGCGTAACAGGCTTCGGCTTGGTGTCGCATGGGCCACTTGATGGTGCAGTCATTGCATATCAACGTCCAAACAAGCAAAAGCAACAAATATACTTACACAAATTAAAATTTTTTCAGAAAACAATTTTTCATACATAAAGGTATAAAAACCAAATCTATCATAAAATATTCTGTTCTACAGAATGACACAAAATGAAATTAAACACACATTTTTAGACAAATTTGACATTTTTTTTGATTAATTTTTATTTTTCTAGGAACCAATTTGTAGAAAGGTAAGGTTCTATACAAAAGTGTAGAAACAATTTCACATACTCTGGCTATCAATTAAACCGCAGGCAATTTGGTGCTCGCGTTGCGGAGATAGCTGTTTACACACAGATTTTTGTTTACAAATTTATAATATCGATTTCTACTCGCTTGCAGATTTAAAAATTAAGGATATTTGGCTAAATAAACTTCATTCCATCGTAAATAATAACAAAATATAACAAATCATACATGAAAAAGAATAAAGTCTGAAAGTATCCAACTGACGGCTCCCTTCCCTGGCAAAAGACAAACAAAAGCGTAGGCCAGCGATGCCCAGGCCCATTTCCCACGGAGCCCATTTTTTTTTTGTAATTGCCCTCAGCATAGGAAACCAATTCTTGTATGCAAGTTAACAAGAGTTAACTGAATTGTCCATTGGGTTGGACGAATTCTGAGTTAACAAGAGTTAACTGGATTGTCCATTGGGTTGGACGAATTCTGCGATATCGCAAGGTAAGCAGCTTCGTCAACCGTGGGATCGCCGTCGTCGCGGTCGCCGGATGCCGGCCGCTACTGGACACCACGCACGAGGCGCAAGGTCAGCACTTTTGCTGGACAGCGACGAGTGCCGTGGCTGGCAACCAAGGGTCCCGTAGCTGGGAAGTTTAGGTTTTTAAGTTAGTTGTTAATTACCGGCCGAGTGGCATTCACGTATCAACGTCTCGCCTTGCGGGTACTTAATCTCTCATTGTATTCTTTTGCAAGTTTAATTACATTCATGAAATAAATAATACTTTACATTAAATACCCGTGTCGTATTTAAACATTACTGGCGCCCAACGCGATAAAAAGAAACCACCCCTGAGAGAGTAATTTTGCGCGGAGCAACGCCCGCTAAGTGAAAATCGGCTAAAAGTGCAACGAAGGGTCAAACAAAAAGACCAAAAAACATCGAGTGCGGAGACAAAGCCCGCTCAAAAGCAAGCTAAAAGAAAGTGGAAACTGTGGAGTGCGGAGACAACGCCCGCTCAAAACACACAAAGATTATTATCAAAAAGCCTCGCCCGCGGGAGATCGGTAAATAGATCGCCGCAACACACCACCAGGAATCAAAAATCACGGTGAAGAAAGGCGCGTACATCAATTGCACGCAAAAGCTCGTAGCCTCGAGTGTAAATAAAAGGCATTTAATCAACCCCAAACCGTTACACCAGAGCGGACGGCTTTGGGCAGCGGCGACGAGAGAAGACAACAACTCAGAACTAGAACTTTCCAGCTAGAATCAATACACCAGAAGAAGGAACATGTAAGTGAAACCTTTCTTCATAATCGCCCTATAGTGAAAATAAAAAAATAGAAAAAAAGGAAAAAAATAAAAACAAAACCCCCTTTTTTTTTTTTTGGTTGCGATAAACGCAAGCAAGAAACGTTACACCACACCATAAATACATTGTTGTCGGCGGGCAACAACAACGAGATCTGTGTTTGAGGGAGCTTGAATTTGATTCCTAAAGAAAATAAACAGAAGCAACGGCCCGGCAGAGCTGGTCCTGACCTACGACAAAGACAAACGAAACGTTAGGGGGCGACCGAGAAAAAATCCGTCTATGCCCATTTCCGAGTTAGCCAGATTGTTCGGCGGACTCAGCGTAGACCTTGAAATAGAACCCGAGGGAAGAGTAGAAAAAATCGACCCTGTTCAGATCAAGGCTGTTATAGAGGCGGCGGTCAACGCTGCGCTAGAAATACAAAAAGCGGACTTTAATCGGCGTTTGCAGGCTGTAACTGACCAGCTGCACGCTGCGAGAGTTCAGGCCCCCGAGGCCAAGGCCTACGAGGCGGTCACCTTGGACCGAGCGGTAGGTTGTGATGAAGCTCTGGATGCGGTAAAAACGCTGCCAGAGTTCAACGGGGCCCAGGAGCATTATGTTTCCTGGCGACAGGCAGCAAAGGCTGCCTATAAGCTATACGAGGGGTTTGTATGAAGTTCAAAGCACTGTCAATTTTTTAGGGGAGCATCCCTGCTCCCGTTCGTCAAACGAACAGTAGCAGGGAGGACACTTAACCTTTTAATAGACACTGGGGCTGCGAAGAATTATATCAAACCTTTAAAAGAACTTAAGGGAATTGTCCCTGTAGAGGCCCCATTTGTTGCAAAATCCCTGCACGGGTTTAATAAAGTAGAGCAAAAATGTCTCCTAACCATATTCGGCATAAAATGCCCGTTTTTTATCTTGCCGGAGCTATCAACCTTTAATGGCATCGTAGGGCTCGACACGCTAACGAAAGCTGGCGTCAATATAAACCTGGGGCACAAATGCCCCAGCGTTAACTTCACAAAAGTAGACGACATTGAGGTCCCGCCAACAGTAAGGGACGAGTTTCTCAGAATGATGTCCAGCGGTATAAAGGCATTTGCAGATCCGACTGAAATGCTACCCTTCAACACAGCCGTAGTAGCCACAATTAGGACCGAGGATGAGGAGCCAATCTACTCGAAAATGTACCCCTTCCCTGTAGGAGCCACTGATTTCGTCAATGACGAGGTGAAGGACCTATTGCGGAACAAAATCATTCGGCCTTCCAGGTCTCCGTACAACAACCCCATATGGGTTGTTGGAAAAAAAGGCACTGACGACTCGGGCTCAAACAAGAAGCGGCTAGTCATAGACTTCCGCAAGCTTAACTCAAAGACCATACCAGACAAGTATCCAATGCCTTGTATCTCCATGATACTTTCAAATCTGGGTAAGGCAAGATACTTCACTACCCTTGACCTAAAGTCAGGGTACCATCAAATCACGTTAGCTGAACGCGATCGTGAAAAGACCTCATTTTCGGTAAACGGAGGCAAATATGAGTTCTGCCGTTTGCCATTTGGCCTCAGGAATGCATGAAGCATTTTTCAACGGGCCATCGATGACGTATTACGGGAGCATATTGGTAAGATATGTTACGTATATGTTGACGACGTCATCGTGTTCTCAAAAAGTGAGGCGGATCATGTCAGAGACATTGACACCGTGCTTGGCAGCCTCCACGACGCGAACATGAGGGTGTCAAAGGAAAAGTCCCAGTTCTTCAGGGGACAAGTGGAATTCCTTGGTTTTGTGGTGTCAACCGAGGGCACGAGAACAAGCCCCGATAAAGTCAAGGCTATTCAGGGGTTTAGACAACCCTCCACCCTGTTTGCGGTAAGATCATTCCTGGGTCTTGCCAGCTACTACCGGTGTTTTATAAAGGACTTCGCTCAGATAGCAAGACCGATCTCTAGCATTCTGAAGGGAGAAAATGGTAAGATCAGCAAACAACGCTCGAAAACCATTCCCATACAGTTTGATGATGTTCAGAAACAGGCCTTTGATAAACTTAGGAACATTTTGGCGTCAGAAGACGTCATCCTCCACTACCCAGACTTCAACCAACCATTCGACCTAACCACTGATGCCTCGTCCAGTGGTATCGGGGCGGTACTGTCACAAAATAATAGACCCATAACCATGATTTTTAGGACTCTAAAAGACAGAGAACTAAACTATGCGACCAATGAAAGGGAGCTTCTGGCCATAGTCTGGGCCCTAGACACTCTCCGTCACTACCTGTATGGAAAGAGTGACATCAACATCTACACAGACCATCAGCCACTGATTTTCGCGGTTTCAGATAGAAACCCCAATTCCAAGATAAAGCGTTGGAAGGCGAGAATTGATGAGTGCGGCGCAAGGGTCTTATACAAACCAGGCAGGGACAATTACGTAGCAGATGCGCTGTCGCGACAGAACATCAATGCGTTAGGAAGTCAGAGTCGATCCGACGCAGCAACAATTCATAGTGAAGCATCGCTCACTTACGTAATTGAAGCCGCAGACAAACCAGTGAACTGCTTCAGGAATCAGATAATCCTAGAAGAATCAAATACTCCTTCCAAGCAGCTCCACATCCTCTTCTCCGAAAAGACCCGTCACAAGATCGAATTTGCCAGTCGAGATACACTTCTTGCGTCCAACAAGGAAGCGGTAAAGCCTGGAGTCGTTAACGCCATCCATTGCACTCTGCCAACTTTGGCGTGTGTGCAAAACGATCTGGTAAAAGCCTTTCCGGACACAAAATTTCGATTTTGCAAAACCTTGGTGACAGACATCACCAACGACGGGGAGCGAAGAGAGATAATGACAGCCGAACACAATCGGGCGCACAGGGCAGCCCAGGAGAATATGAAGCAGGTACTGCGAGATTGTTATTTCCCGAAAATGGAGAAAATCGCAGCAGAAGTGGTGATAAACTGCAGGATATGCCAGAAAGCCAAGTATAACCGGCACCCTAGGAAGCAAGAGTTAGGGGTGACTCCAATTCCGGCAAGAGTAGGCGAGTTGATTCATATCGACATCTTTTCCACCGCAGGGAAGTACTTCCTTACCGCGATTGACAAATTTTCAAAGTTTGCAATAACGCAGCAGGTTGCTTCACGCACGATCACGGACGTGAAAATACTTATTTTACAATTGGTAAACATCTTCCCAGCTATTAGGACCATCTACTGTGACAATGAGGCAGCTTTCAACTCGGAGACCATTCGGTCTTTATTAAAGAACCAGTTCGAGATTGATGTAGCGAATGCCCCACCTTTGCACAGCACATCAAACGGACAGGTGGAACGCTTCCACAGCACCCTCTTAGAAATAGCCAGGTGCTTAAAATTGCAACGCCAGGTGGACGATACGGTTGAACTAGTTATTCTAGCGACCATCGAATATAATCGAACCATCCACTCCGTCACGAACAGGACACCTTGGATGTGGTCCACGCAAGTTGTGACCTTGGGGAAGAATTTATGTAAAAGCTAATAAAAGCCCAACAAGAGCAGCTCGATAGAAACAACCCGACCAGGCAAAATAGGACCTTTGATGTAGGCGAGCAGGTCCTAGTGAAAACCAATAGGAGGTTAGGGAACAAGCTAACTCCCCTCTGCGCTGAACAAAAGGTAGAGGCAGACCTGGGAACCACCGTTCTTATTAAAGGGAGGGTGGTCCACAAAGACAATTTGAGGTAAGTAAGGAATTAGGTGTAGTAAACCGGGATTCATAGCACTAAGTTCAGGTCCACTAGGACAAATTATAGTAGGATTAAAGAAGGTATAGCTAATAAGCCGATGTGTCTCTCATTTCTTATAGGTCACCCGTTGAGTATCTCTGCCTCCTAACAGTCTTGGCCTTGACAGCCATGACCGACTCAAAGCTGACGGACTACACGCACGCGGACTACATTCCCATAATTGACGGACGGACCGTAATATGGAACGAAACCTTCTACGTACAACACTCCACGAACTTGACAGAGTATGACCGATACATTCAGGAAACAATAGACTTGACTGACGTGTTCCCTCAGACACATATGAGGAAAATATTAGAAACAGACACGAAACACCTACTGACGTTGACTGCGGCTTTGGGAGTTCATCACAGGCATGCGAGGAGTTTGAATATCTTGGGGTCTGCACTGAAGGT